CCGCCAAACGCCCGCTGTGCGTCCGCGGCAATGAGTGGATCATCGGGCTCAAGGAGGCCCCTACTAGTTTTAGTACAATTACCAGTACTACTACTACTACTACTACTACTACTACTACTATTACTACTACTACGACTACTACTACTACAACAACTACTACTACTACTACGACTACTACCACTACGACTACTACCGCTACGACTACTACTACTACTACTACTACTACTACTACTACTACTACTACTACTACTACTACTACTACTACTAGTACTACTACGACTACTACTACTGCTACTACTACTACTGTGTTTACTAATAGCTACTACTACTGCTACTAGTAATACTACTACTACTACTACTACTCCCAGGTACTACTTTAGGAGCTACTTTTTATCAGGTACTACTTCTACTACTACCAGGTACTGCTACTACCAGGTACTGTTACCAGGTACGAACACTAATTCGCATTACGACTGGAAGTACAACTAATAGTGCCACTACCACTGCTACGAACGAGTTACCACTACTACTACTATTGAATATTACCACTACTACGGTGACTACTAATACTAGTACTAGTACTATACTAGTACTAGTGTACTGGTAGTAGTAGTAGTACTACTACTACTACTACTACTACTACTACTACTACTACTACTACTACTACTACTACTACTACTACTACACTACTACTACTACTACTACTACTACTACTACTACTACTACTACTACTACTCTACTACTACTACGACTACGACTACTACGACTACGACTACGATACGACTACGACGACTACTACGACTACGACTACTACTACTACTACTACTACTACTACTACTACTACTACTACTACTACTACTACTACTGTACTAGTACTAGTACTATACTAGTACTAGTACTAGTACTAGTACTAGTACTAGTACTAGTACTAGTACTAGTACTAGTACTACTACTACTACTACTACTACTACTACTACTACTACTAGTACTACTACTACTACTACTACTACTACTACACATACTACAAATACTACCACGAGGTTGGTGCACCTGGTGGCGAGGGGCGGCTCCGAGGACCTCGGCCTCGTCGCCGGGGGCCCCGAGACCTTCGCCCAGCACAGGGCCAACACGAGCGCGGCCGTCGTCGACGCCACCGCGCTTTGGCTCCAGCTCCGGGGCGAGGAGCAGGCGCGCCTCGACGACAGCGGGGTCTCGGCGCGAGCGACATGGGCACGGAAGGAAAGGGCGCAGTGCCCAACAGCTGTTCCTATTTTTTTTGCACGGGATTCGCTGTCGGTGTCGCCGCGGCCTGTGTCCATTCCAGACAGAAGGCCGCCTGTTCCATAGCGGTCGTTGTTGATTTGGGGCAGCATTTGTCGCGGGGCATCGGCCTCGCTCTTTCCGCGCCCAACCTCCGCGAGAAGCACCGCGAGACGCGCTTCGACCGCGAGAAGGCAGCCTTCGAGACGGAGAAGGCCAAGTACTTGGAGAGCGCCCCGACCACATGGCGCAAGTGGAGCAAGCCTACTCGAGCGCAGGAGACAAGTACAAGATCACCCTCATCAGCGTCTCTGCGGTCGAGAACTGGTTCGACCCTTGCACGGGGCCGGGGTCCGCCAAGAAGCGCAGCGCGCCCCTTGCCCCCTGCGCAGGGCACTGCCGAGTCAGCGACGCGAAGCTCGAGGGGGGCACCCGGCGGCGCGACGTGACCCACGAGCGGGGCAATGGCAAGACGGAGCGCTTCCGATCAGGCGAGCCCCTAGGAGCATTGCTCAAGGGCAGGCGCAGCGCTCTGCCCGAGTTCTCCACGGCGGACCGCGCGAGGGTCCTCGAGGCCATCGACGCGAGGGGCAGCCGAGAGCCTGGGCGGGCGAGCTGGCGGCAAGCTGGGCCATCGACTTCATCGGGCAGGAGCACGGCCACAGCCACGTGTTCGCAGACTGCCTCTCGAGCCAGTGGACCGAGGCAGTGGCGCTGCGAGCGTGGATCAAGAATGTCACGCACGCGCCCATGGCCCCCGACGCCACGAGCTTCTTGCAAGAGCCCGACGCCCGAGAGCACGGCCAGCTCAAGGCCAAGATCCCAGAGGTCAAAGCCGAGATGCACTGGGCCATGGAACAAGACTGGATCCAGAAGGCCAAGGCGGAGCCCCAGAGGCAATACAAATCCCAGACACCACTGGGGCCCTAGAAGTGCCTCTATTGCGTCTCCGAGGCATGCACCCGCTTCCGCGAGCAGAACAAGGGCGCGGTGCCGCTCCAACGGCTGCAAGCCAACTGAATGCTCGCGGTCCGGCCAACGGATCAAGGCGAGCTCAAGGTCGTCGCGGGCGCGCGGCCGAGGAGCTACTCCATCGAGCCCGGCCGCGGCATCGAGAACAGCCTGGCGAAAGAGCGCCTCGAGGGCGTCCAGAGCTGGCCCCAAGGCGCGCCGCCCGCGCCCGAGTGGAGCGCCCTCGACGGCAACTGCTTCCACAACGACGACTTGCCGAGGGACTGCGAGCAGGGCGAGAACCACTGCCTCCTGGAGCGCCGAGAGCGGAACCTCGAGCTCACCGTCGAGCAGATGGACATGCCCAAACCGCCAGAGGAGCGGATCAAGAAGATCAAATTCCCGCGCGCCCTCGAGAGCAGGATCAAGCTGAAACGGAACGCTAAACGCAACAACAGGTGGGCGCCCAAGTTCGCGGGCCAGTTCCTGGGCAAGCACGCTCGCAAGTGGCAGCGCGAGAAAACCAAGACCGGCGGCGAGACCTCGCTCGAGCACCTCAGCGCAGGCGTGGCCAAGGCGAAGCTCACAGGCAGGCCGCCGAAGGCGCGCGCGAGCTCCCCCAATAAGTTCAAGCAGAAGAAGCAGGCGGAGAAGGGCGCCGAGAAGCGCGGCAGGGCCAAGCAGAAAGACGGCCTCGCGGCTTGCGAGGAGCCCCCCCTGGCACGGCAAGGTGGCGCGCGTCACCGAGGAGGGCGTCCACGAGGGCAGGATCGGCAGAGCGCAGGACGTCTGGCGAGTCATGGGCACCGAGGACGAGCACCGCCTGCGCGTCCTCGAGGTGGAGACCGCGGCGATCTTCCAGATCGAGAGCAGCGAGGCCGGGAGGGACACAGGCATCTGCCTGGGGCTGCGGAAGCAGGCGGAAGTTGGCGGACAGAAAAAAAAACGAAAACGGAAGCAGGCGGAAGCAAAGCGACGCGGAAGCAGGCGGAAGCTAACGAGCGCCTGCGGATCCCGAGCGCCACAGGTCACGATCGAGCAGGACTACAAGTTCCCCGGGCCGCAGAAGCTTGACTGGTGCCAGACAAAACAGGCTCGCCGCACCGCGCTTTCCAAGAAGTGCGCGGTCATGAACTGCGAGCTAATCGTCAAAGGCGACAACCTCGAGCTAGGCACAATGCACGCGCTGCTGGGCGAGATCGAGGAGCGCGTGGGCCTCCCCGACACCGCTCTGGTGGTCGAGCCCACGGTGGCTGTCGCCTGGGCTCGAGGGGGCCACGGCGAGGACGCACCCGCCGCCCAGCAGCCCGAGGAGCAGAAGCGCTGGGCCGAGAGGGCCGACAAGGGCCAGCACGTGCTGGTCTGCGTGCACTCCGAGGCGCCCGCGCACTACAGGTACCTCAAGGTCGGCGGTTGTTCTCCCCCCCAAGTGCCTTCAGCGTTTCGCTCCGGTTTGGAACAGATCATGGAGGCGCCCTGGGCAGGGGGCGCGTGTGGCAATTCCCACCAGGGTTCGAGGATCGACGGGGGCGGCGTCGCGGTGGAGTACCGCGACGCCCTCAAGCAGCCGCCCGAAAACGCCAACCAGGTCCAAAAGGGCCACATGCGAACTCGCGCCTACACCCCACGATTTCCGAGGGGGGAAGGTAGGTTCAATTTGCTCGGGAGCTGCTGGGCGAAGTGTGCCCCGCCCTCCTCCTCCGCAGAAATCGTGGGTAGGTTTGGTACGTGGCCTCCCAAGGCGGCCGCGAGGATCCTCCGCAAGCTCGGCGCCATTGGCCCTGGCGAGAATTGCCCAGCACCGAGCAACAAACGGTACCAAGCAGGCGGTTGGAGCTGCGGCCTGTGGACGAGTCGTTGGGTCGAGCGCGCCCTGCGCGAGATCCGACCCGAGGCTCGCCAAACGCCAGCAAGCATCAACACCATGGTCGCTCGAGGCAACGAGTTTATCAATTAATTCAAGGAGGCCAGTGACAACGACTTGGCGATGGCCGCGGCCGCGGCCAAGGCCAAACACAAGTCCAACCCCTGCAAAGACCCCACGGCGGCCGAGCCTACGCCACCTTCGAGGAGGCTAGCGCCGCCGCCCACCTTTGCACCACATGTCTCCCATGCAAGGACGGCTCCAGAGGATGCCGTGCTTGCATGGGAGAGTGGTTCGAAGTCCATTGCAAGAGAGGTTTCTTGGCCAGATCGGCCAAGGACTCCTTTTTGCGCTGGCAAAGAATGTTGGCGCCTGCTTAGCCACGAGCCTCGAGATCTCTCGAGTCAGCCTTGTGCAGTGCGCCTGCGAGCAAGTAGCCACGACCCTCGAGATCTCTCGAGTCAGCCTTGTGTCGTGCGCCTGGTTAGTCACGAACCTCGAGATCTCTCGAGTGAGTCTTGTGCCGCGCGCCCGGGATCACATGACATCATCATCATCATCATCATCATCATCATCATCATCATCAGCATCATCATCATCATCATCATCATCATATCATTATGGTCATCATGGTCATCATGGTCATCATCATCATCATCATCATCGTCGTCATCATCATCATCATCACCATCACCATCATCATCATCATCATCATCATCATCATCATCATCATCATCATCATCATCATCGTCACCGTCACCGTCACCGTCATCATCATCACTTACCTTCCCGGGGAACATATTGTATTACCCCCGCCAGGACCCCGAAATTTATCCCAGGAAGGAGGGTCGTTACCGCCCGTACAAGGTTTAACTCCGCTTTTCACTCTTGCTGCCGCCCCAAGGGGTTGGCGGTGCGGCGTCAGCCAATGAATTGCGAGCTAGGGTTTGGCAGGGACGTTGAGGTGCACAAGTGCTGCGCTGGCATGCGTAAACTATACAACATTCACCCAAACTCGTTGCTTAAGACGTTGCCAGCACGGCACCTCCCCTCTGGAAAAAGCCATATCGATACCGCTCCACGGCAACAAAAACTGAAGTTCTACTCTGCGAGAAGCCGCTACGAACAGTCTTCAAACGCTGCGCCACCGCACTCCCCACTCCACAATAGTGCCTACAACCACTTCCACGCGCCTCGAGTGTCGGGGCCCGTCGCCGCTGCAGAGTTGATGCCGCCGTCGATGCCGATCACGGGCGCTGCGGCGGCGCGCGGCAATGCGGCAGCTCCTTTCGTTGGGCGAATGACACTGGAGCGGTAATAGCCGCCGCAACTGGTGTCGTCGCCCATGACGGCCGAGCTGGGCACTCCCGCGGGCATCGACTCCGGTTGCGTGGCCGCAGGCTTCACGGCGGCCGGCGCGCGGGTGCCACCAGAGCAGTAGTAGCCGCCACAGGAGCGGTCGTCGCCCAGCACCGCCGCACTGGACACCCCCCCAGGCACGGACGCCAGTGGCGTGGCCGCAAGCGCCGCGGGGTCTTGCGCGCGGTGGCCACCGGACCGGTAGTAGCCGCCGCAGCTGGTGTCATCGCCCATCACGGCCGAGCTGGGCAAGCCCCTGGGCACGGACGCCGGTGGCGGGGCTGCAGCCTTCGCGGCGGCCAGCGCGCGAACCCCACCAGAGCGGTAGTGGCCGCCACAGGAGCAGTCGTCGCCCAGCACGGCGGAGCTTGGCACACCCCTGGTGAGACTTGTGGCAGGTGACAAAGAGCGGTCGCCATCACTGGCAATGGTGGACCCTTTGCTGACCTGTCGAACCCGCTTCCTCATTGCCTCGGGCTCGCTGATCGTGGGCTCTGTCTTCTCGATCGATTCCTGCCTCCACATAGCCTGGACAGAGGCCATTGCGACCGTCCTAGATGCTCGACGTGGAGTAGCGGCAAAGCGACTGAAAACCAACAAATGTGAAACCAAAAAACTTGAGCCAAAGATGGCTACGGAAATGCTGTTGGGACTGTCTTGGGCCGTCTCGGGGCCCTCTGAAGCGCTCTTTGGGCTGACTTGGGCCTCTATGGCCGAACATGTCAAACAAATGTGCCATTAGACCTGGCCCGGCACAGAAACGGAAAGAGCGCTACAGCAACCGAAACGGGAATTACTCACACCACCGTTCGAACCGGGAGCCTGGGCGTTGAGAGCTGGTTACGTCACCCCTCGCTCTTGGGAGCCTTGGGGTTCAGAGATTGTTGCGTTGCCGCCCGTTCCTGAGCCTTGGTTGGGCCTTGGAATCAGGAACTTGTTACGTCACCGCTCTCTGCTGTGAGCCTGGGTCTTATTAACTTGTTTACGTCACCGTTCGCTCTTGGGAGCCTTGGTGTGAAGAGCTTTTTGCATTACCGATCGCTCTCGGCATCTCTGGGCCTTCGTGGGAGTCCTATTGGGGCCCCTTGGGGGCCTCTTGGGGGCCTCTTGGGGCTTCTTGGGGGGCTCTGGGGGCCTCCTGGGAGCGTCTTGGGGCGAAAGGCTAGACTTTCGGGTTCGTGGTCCCCCTCTTGGGGCCGTCTTGGGGCCCTCTTGGGCCGTCTTGGGCGCCTCTGGGGCCATCTTGGCGCCCTCTTGGGCCGTTTGGGGGGCCACTTGGGCCGTCTTGGGGCGGTCTTGAGGGCCTCTCGGGCCGTCTTCAACGTTGGGGCCTCTTGGGCCGTCTTGGGCCAGTCTGGGGGCCCTCTTGGACCGTTTTGGGCCCCTTTGGGGCGTTTCTGTCTTTGGGCGATCTTTGGGGCCTCTTGGGCTGTCTGGTGCCCTTCTGGGACTGACAAGAGAACAGCCCGGAAGCCAGGCAGCAACCCCAGGGAAATCAATGCTGTTGGCCTCCTGAGGCCTTCTCGGGGGCCCTCTTGAGGGCCTCTGGAGCCGTCTCGAGACACTCTTGGATTGTCTGGAAGCCATCTGAAGCTCTCTTGCGGCCGCCTTAGGGCCCTCTGAAGCCGGCCATCTGAAGCTCTCTTGGGCGCTGTCTTGGGGCCCTCTTGGGTCTTCTTGGGTCCATCTGGGGCCGTCTGGAAGCCCTCTTGGACCGTTTTCGGCTCCTTCGGGGGGCCTCTGGGGCCGTCTAGGGACGAGCTTGGGGGCCTCTTGGGCCGTCTTGGGCCCGTCTGGGGGGCCCTGTTGGACCGTTTTGGACCTCTTTGGGGCGCCTCTGGGGCCGTCTTGTGACGATCTTTGGGGCTTCTTGGGCAGTCTGGGGCCCTCCTGGGACGGGAAAGGGGAGAACCCGAAGAACATGCAAAAACCCGACGGAAAACCCAAAAACTGCCATTAAACCGTTCCCTCTAGACCTCTCCCCCCCTCTGCACTCCCCCCTCAAGGGCTTCGCCCAACACTACAACGTCATTCACTCGTACCTCGCTCTTTCCTTTCCCTGCTTGGCACGGGGACGGAAAGCGCATTCACTTTCAGAGCGCGAGATGTCGCTGGCTTGCCCGTTCTTTCTCTGTCTCCCCGTCTGGAGGCTCTCTTGGGGCACCTTGGTGGCATATTGGGCGCCCTCTAGGGCTATTTAGAAGCCGCAGGAGGGGGAGCTAGGACGTTTTGGTATCTTAGGAAGGCACTCGAGAGCGATAAAGCACGAATGAAGAGCGCTTCAGCAACCTGCCCAAGATGGCTCATGGCAATCTTCGCTCTTGGGAGCCTTGGTGGTAAGAGCTTGTTGCGTTACCACTCTCTGTTGGGAGCTCGGGTGTTCAAAGAGTTTTACGTTGCCGCTCGCTCCTGGGAGCCTTGGTGTCGAGAGTTGTTTACGTCACCGCGCTCTGGTAAGCCTTGGTGTTCAGAGCTTGTTGAGTCACCGCTCGCTGTGGGGAACCATGGTGTTCCTTAGCGTCTCCGGGGCTTCTTGGGAATCTATTGGGGGCAATGTTGGACCGTTTTGGAACTCTTGGGCCATCTTTAGGCCAGCCCAGTCCCTACACGATAGCAGCCCAGACCCCATACTGCCTCTTCGGGCCCGCTTGGGGCTATCCTGGACCGTATTGGGGCCCTCTTGGGCCGTCTGGGGGCCCTCTTGGATTGTTTTCGGCCCCCTTGGGGGGCCTCTGGGGTCGTCTTGGAATGAGCTCTGGGGCCTCCTGGGCCGTCTGGGGCCCTTCTGTGATTGAAAAGGGAGAACCCGACAAACCTGCGAAAACCGTAGGACAGAAACATATGGTTTGCCTCCTGAGGCCCTCCCGGGAGCACTCTTCAATGGTTTTGACCCCTGATGCCCTCTCGGGTGCCCTCTTCAGGGCCTCTGGAGCCATCTCGAGACTCCCTTGGACCGTTTGGAGGCCATCTCAAGCTCTCTTGGGGCCTTCTTGGGGCCCTCTGGAACCGTCTCGGGGCCCTATTGGGCCGTCGTGGGGCCCTCCAGCCGGCTCACCCGAAAAAAATAATAAGAAACAGGCCATGGGAGCCGCCTGGGAGCCGCTTCGCTCGAAAAATTACCAGGACACGCCGAACATGGCCGAAATGAAAGCGATTAGATCCCTGCCTGTGCATATGCACGTTTTCTGTAATCTGGGCCCGCCGAAGCCATCACCCTCACACTCCCCTCCCATATTTCTCCCCACGGATGGGTCGCGACGCCACGCGCGTGTTCTGTCATCCGCGGCACCGTGGTCTTGCAACAGGGGTGCACGGCGTGCCAATTGTCTGGCAAATCTTTCATTCTTGTCTAAAGAACTCCCCTGTGTCTCGGCCCAGCCCGCCAATTAACAGGAACGCCAGGGACCATCCACCCGTCATTGGTCAAATCGCCCCAAGAAGGCCCAACGAAAACATAATATGGCCACAAGATGCACCCCAAACGCTTCAAAATGCACTCAATCTGACCTTGAGATGGTCCAAGGCGGCCCCCAAGGCCCCCCCAAAACGGTCCAAGAGGCCCTCCAGAAGACCCGAAATAAGGCCCAAATCAATCACTTCCTCAGTAAAGGATTTGGGCATCTGGGTCTTTTCAATCTTCCGACAGCCGAAGAGGCCCCCGAGATGGCCCCAGAGCGCCAAAGCGGCCTCCACGATGGCCCTGTGACGGTCCAGGGGCCCCCAAGAGGCCCAAGTAGGACCCCAAGACGCCTCCACGAGGCCCCCAGGAATCTCCCACCGCCATGATCATTCCCCTCATCCGCCCCCACGAGTTCCCCGAGAGCTTCTAGAGCGCTTGGGGGACTACATAATCCGATAGCGGGGCTTCACAAAAAGGCGGGGGCGGCGGTGACTCGTCGTAGGCGTCTTCGATCTGCCGCCCCCACGATGCTTACAACTGGGGGCTGCTCGACGTGCTGGACGTTCGGTTGCTCTGGCCCTTCCAACACATTCCTACAAACCTCCCGCCCAAGAGATTTAAGCCTGGGGGGCGCAGACAGATACTTCGCCTATTGCATTAACGATAGTGCCAAAAGGTGAGACATAGCCGCGTCAGCGGCGAGAGAATATCTCAAGAGTTAAGAGCGGAATCTTTTCTGTCTCGATGTAAGAGAGCGGGCCGAGGTGGGACCCAGTCAAATGCGCGGCTGGTCGCTTGAGCCCACGCGGCCGCGGACAAACGCCCGATACCTCTCGCCTTTGCCCCATTCTCCCTCAGAATCAGGAGGGGGGGGGGGGGGGGCGAAGCGTGAGTCCGCTACCGGCCTTGCTCAGCAAAGCTGCCATATTACACTGGAAAAACAGCAACCAATGGGCTCAACCGTAGCAGGCTACCCCGCAGCTCACTAATCCTCGGGCGGCCCAGACGGTTTCATCGAGCCAGCCCTGTGGGGGGGGGTCGCCTTAAGTCGTGCTTGAAGGATTGCACTCCTTCCAGAACATGTAAGAGCATGCACCTGTCAATGCCCCCCTTGGTGTGCTCATCTGCAGTCGCGTCGCGGTGTCACACCACTGCGCGCAATGCGCAATGCCGCGCTCAATCGTTTGCCGTATCCGACTGATGTGACCCAAGAAGGCACAATCAGTCGGCTTCTTCAGGCATTTGCTTGACAAGGGCTTGAAGACATATTCCGCATCAGTGGCCAGGGTGACCTGAATGCTGAGGCCGCCCATGTCAGGAATATCCTTCAATTGAGTGGGTGCCGGGGGCCCTGCGCGGAGTTCGTGTAGCGTGACAATCGTGGGATAGCAGTCCTCCATGTTATGGGTCGCGGCAAATGTTTCAGCCGAGTAGCTAGAGCGGACCTGCGAGCGGTGGGGCCTGCAGCGCGCGTCGACAAGATGGACGACAGGCTTGCCAGCAGGCGCGCGTCCACGCCTTAGCAGGTTTGCCCCGCGAGCATCACGGCCTTTGACCTCGCCTTTGTCAACATAATTGAGGCGACGGTAGCCAGAATCGCTATGCATATCGACCTCGCCCGTTGGTGTCGTCGCTATATACGCGATTTTCTCGGGGCAGGCCTGCGGGCGCCCGACAATCGCGCTGAGTCGTCGCACTTGCATGTTGGTCGGTTCTTGGACGCGCTGCAGTGATGCAACATATGCCATTACCCACACTTGCGTGACCAGGGCGTAAGCCAGAGCGCCTCTGAGGCTGACAAACGTGTCAAAGACAATGTTCGGCGCTTTGCCCTCAGCATCTGCGCCATTGAGTTCGCGCTGATGGATAGGACGGAGCTATGTATGTATTCGCCGTGGTCAAGACTAACGTTATGGTCGCTTTCCTCAGCGCGCCTCCCAGCGCAGTTGGTACATGTATGTTCGTTGAGTTTACACTCTCCGAAGCTATCCTCAACGCACTTGACGCGTGTGTCACCTGTATCCTCAGTACCCGCCATGTTGATACCAACGACATGTTTGGCAAACGAACAATGTCTGGCTTGGCCGCCGTACCGTTCCGGAGAACGCTTCTACGCCGAAGGCTTCGAGGTCCATGACGCCCCGAAGTACCAGGCGTAACCTGATGATACGTCCCACTTCACCCTTTTCGTTCTTGACGAATTTCCATTTCTACACGTATCTCGAAGTCATGATGCCTGACGCTTTGGATCTGTCTTGTAGCTGAAGCACTTGTTGCCAAAACATGTCTTGAGCTCAGTA